GTGATTAGATTTTCCACATTTGGAAGTTCCTTTTTCCCCCTCTTGATGTATGCAGTGCTGAGAAACCAAACCAGGCATGCTCTGGGGAGAACAGAAAAGCTTTCTTACTTCTCCTGGGACTGGAGGTGCCTGGGTCTGGCTGGCTCGCCCTGCCCCTTTGGAGCATCCTCTGGGCTCCCTTCTGGAGCCTGGTCCTGGAGCCCAGCCTGGCATTCCCTGTGGGTCAGTTCAGTTCTGTGTTGCTCTGTGCTCCCTGTCCAGTGTCAGTCTGCTTTTACTTCTTGGGGAGGTGGCGGGGCCCTTTGAGATTCCCTTCACTTTCATTTTTCAAGCCAGCAGGGTGCCAGGCTGCAGTCAAGGTGTGGGCAGATTCTCTCCTGGAGTGGCTAGAAGGAGTCCTCAGGCAGGAGCACTGGGAGTTCCTGTGTCAAGTGCTTTGGCTGTTATGTAAAGGACGAAGCCCCATTTCAGCCTTGCTGCCCTCCACGGAAGGTGTGGCCCTGGGTGGGCTCTTCCAACAGGTGAGGTCTATGGGCCCAGCTGGAAGAGGCATCCAGCCTGGAACCAGTTGCATTGAGTGCTGGTGGTTCTTCCAGTTTGTTGCAACCTTTCTTGTGTCCCGACTGGTTCCAATAGGGCATGGTACCACTTCTCAACCTCGGATGAGACTCTGGAGCACAGAACGGGACAGCCTGCTCTACCTGAGCTCTGTCCTGTTTGCTTGTCCATGTGTCTTCGTGAGGGACCAGGAACAGGGCAGTGAGGTGCCCAGTGGGGTTTGGTGTACATCACCTTGCAGGAAATTCATGGGCTCCATGAGCTCATGTGCTGTGGGGCCCTTTCTCCTTGGGTCTAGGGTGGAGCTGCTTTTCTTGGCCTTGAGTTGATGGTGCTTCAGGGAGCCTCTGACTAGCATCTCCTGCTTGGCAGCCGGGTGGACCTGCTCCTGAGCCGCTGACATTGTGATTCACAGGCTGGGTGAACATGCCCTGGGGAGAGGAAATGGTTTTGTATGTTGCAGAAAAGCAAGCTCAGGAGGGTAGCAATCAAAAGGGGTGGTTTGAATGATCACCAAGAAACTTATGTTTGCACCCTGAGCTGTGCTGGTTTCTAAGCACAACAGACGTGTGGGCATTTCTCAGCTGCGTGGTACTGCTCCCTCTCACAGCCAAGTGCCCGTGGCCTCGGTGGTGGGCACGCTTTCTGCCGGCTTGTGTCTTGTGCTTTCATGAAAAGGGGTCATTCCTCTTGTGTGGTGGTGTGGCTGGTGAATGCCCAAGACCATCAGGAGGCTGTTGCCTCTGGTTGCTTCTCCTGGTTTTAGGCTCACTGTTCTCTGCACACTCTTGGGTAAAGGGTAGTGATGGTGGCCCCATTTTTAGGTGAAAAACACCCACAAACAAAGACAAAGTCCTCATCCTAATGATTTTTCACTTCTTTTTCACTTCTTTTGCCTTCCTGGTCTATTTATGTCAGGAATTTGGCAAATAAAGAATGTTTAGCCCTGGCCAGGTAACTAGTTGGTTGGAGTATTGTCTCATACACCAAAAAAAAAAAAAAAGGGGGGGGGGGGTTATGGGTTCATTTCCAGTCAGGATGTGCATAGAGATCCACCCAGACCCCAGCTGTAGGTGGAGGAGTGTTAGGATTTGCCACAGAGGGTGGCCATGTGACTTATCCAAACTACATATTTGAGTGTAAAAGGAGGCTCTGTTCATGATGAAGCTGGGGCACCAGCTTGGTCTGAGGAGGGTGCGCAGTCGCCTGCAAATTGACACCCTTTCTTCACAGGCCCAGGGGTGCCTGTCTGTCTGGCCTCTCCTGCTTTCTCCCCACAGACCTGATGCTCTGTATTTGTGTCCTGTTCGTGTCCTGTCTCCTCACTGACTGCCTGTCTGGTAGACTTTGGTTCCTCCCATGAGAGCTGCTGCAGTGAAGTCCTTGTTGACCCCTCCCTAGTGACTGGCTGTCTCCTTGCACATCATGTGGACTTCTGCTGTGTGTTCTGTGGACCACCTGCCCCAGGGGACTGGAGGCGGTGTTTTGGTGCTTCTGGCTCTCTCCCAAGCTGAGTCCCTGAAAGAACCCAGTGTTTCTGCTCAGTAAGGTTTTGTTCTGTAAATGGATGACTTATGTCTAACGTACATTAAACTGGACACATTTGAATTTACGTAGAATAAATGAACTGTGATTTTGTATTTCACATAAATTAAATCTAGGGAAGAGTAGTTCTTAATTAAAATAGATTTTGGAAAAACAACAGGAATATATCTGTGTTTACTTGGTAGGAAATGTTTCTGATCTCTTTGGTGACTTGACATTCATTTGCATTTTATTCTCAGAGCGGCTCAGTGAAGGTCCTACCATTGCCCCGTTTTATATGCCAACGAAACTGAGGTTCAGAGAAGGACACTTCCTGCCTGGTCACAGGGCTGAGTGGTGTCTGAGCACTCCCAGCGTTTCCCCGGGTCTGTGGTTCAGCAGGTTCAGTAGAGTGAGGACCTCCTTCCTCTTTGTGTTAGCACAGCGCCTCCCCTCTGGCAGTCGCCAGTTCTGAGGATGACTTGAGCCCCCACCCCATCTTCATGCACCAGCTTCATCTGCTGACTTGGCTCATAGTGCCACTCCCACCTTCTCCCAGTGCTGGTCACCTTTGTGGCTGTTACACCTGACTCCTCTACCACCCCTTCTCCCAGGGTCTCCGGATCCCCCCTCTGCTGGCCTCCTCTCCCTGCCACCTCTTTGCCCACTGCTACCTCTCAGTGTGGGGCAGTTGGGCCTGCACTCGGACCTTCTCATCCTGTTCTGTACCCTTACTCTGGTCTTAGGTTTTGTCTTTACAATTTTTGTCTTTTACAACTAGAATGATAGTTGACCCTTGAACAACACTGGTTTGAACTGTGTGGGTGTACTTATATGCAGATTTTTAAATACCTGTTCAAGTATCAATTGAGGTTGGGAATCCTTGTGTGCAGAGGGCCGATTTGAGTTATTTGCGGATTTTCAACTGCCATGTGATTGGTGCCCTTAGCCCCACATTGATCAAGAGTCATTGTTTTGCAGCTTTTAGGATAACAGCCTTCACCTCATTAGGAATAATGTTGCTCGTTTCAGGGTTTTGTTTTCTGGTCTGCAGTCCCAGTGTCCTTCTGAAGTGTGTGAATTCTACTCTCTGATATTCCCATTGACCAAAATCTTGCCATATTTTTGTTTGTTTCATGTGTGGACCATAACTTGTATGGTTTTGACTTTTCTGTAGGGCTGTGTGGCATTTTGCCCTGGGCGATTTCACTCATGCCCAGACTAATCTGCTGAACCACCTCCCTGACTCCTTTAAAAATCCACCAGGAAGAAGCTCAGGGGTCCAGGTGACTCTAAACCCCCTGGTTACCAGGTTACAAAATGGGTGTTTCGGGTGCAACCTGTGGGAGTCCAGGGTCCTGCCCTGCCTTTTATTAGCACCCAGCATGCTGTGGATCCTGCTGTGTTTCTAGTGGATGGGTCTAGTGAGAGGTGCTATTCTCTGGATGGTTTAGGGTTTCAGGGTTGAGTTGATGGGGGAGACGTAATGGTAGAAAGAGCAGAAGAGAACATCACTTCTGCCAAGGGGATTTGCAGAATATTTCAAAGAGTGATCCAGGTCCAGGGAGGGAGCTGAGGAATCAAAGCGTGTCATGTGTGTGCTGGGCAAGGCAGTGGACCCAAGGGACGCCTTTCTGAGAGACACCTCGGTGTTTTGTGGTCATAGCCCTGGCCTGAGGTCTGAGCCCTTGACCTCTTCTCTCCAGTGCAGCTTGGAGCATCCGCGGCTGCAAGGGCCAAGGACTGGTTGGGTGGGTAGTCTCCGTGTGAGATACCGTTGAACAGGGTGTCCTCTTCCTCAAGCTGAGCAGCTCCTTGACCGTCAGACCGGTTGGGACGGGGAATCTCACGCAGACGGGTCACATACCTTCAGAAGCAGTTCCCACCTGCCAGTTAAGTACTGTTTCTGAAGGGAACTAGCTTGATTAGCTGTTGCTCAGAAGTGTTCAGCTCTAGGATTCTGAGTTTCAAGGGCTTGGATGGTGTGTGAATTGTCCCATTTTTTTTTCCAGACTCAGAAGTGTAGGGGAACAGTTCAGGTTGAGAATTCAGGGGCTTGCAAGGTCTGTGAGTTTGGAGGTGGTTCCTGGTTACAGGGAGGTGAGCTGGAGACACTGTACTAGAACCCCTATGGACATCAGAGCTGTGGGCCCAGGGGATCAGCGCTGCCGGGTGGGATATGTCAGCAGCGCAGGAGGAGGAGAATGTGTTCGAGAAACAGAAGGGCCTTTCTCCTTTGTCAGCTGAGAGTGGGTGAGACTTTAGACTCCAGTCTTTGGGATCTTACCTTTGTGTGAGACACTTCGATCTGCAGCTTTTATTCTTGGATGTTTTTATGCACAGATAATCGTAGAAACCTAGTGAGATGCCTTACCTTCTGATAGGCCAGTGCCCTTAACTTCAGTGTGGGTATATGTCTGAGATTAAACACCCCCCCACAAGTGACTGCACCCCTATTTACGATGCCCTTTTGAAGGGTTTCTTCTCCAGTCTCTGTAATTCCTTCCTTTATCATGTATGGAAACTGTTCTCATTATTTAGGTGGTGAGTGTTCTGAAGAGAAATTTTGGAAGGTCCGAAGAATTGTTTTGAGAATTTGTTTTATTTTGTAAATGAATCTGTAACCTTTTTTTTATCTTTACCCAAGGACATTTTTGCATTTTTATCTTCAGATAGAGTGGGAGGGAGAGAGGGGAGAAGAGAGAGAGAGAAACATCTACGTGAGAGACACACATGGAGTGGTCGCCACCCACATGACCCCAACCAGGGCCGGGAACAAACTGCAACCGAGGTATGTGCCCCCAGTGGGAACCGAACCTGGGACTCTCTGGACCGCAGGCTGATGCTCTAACCGCTGAACCAAACCAGTCAGGGCTGAATCTGCAACATTTTAATAAAACTGTTTTTTTTTTTTTTAGGCACAAATATTTAAGCATGGAAAACGTGAAGACTGTTTACCCTATGGTAAGGTTTCTTTGTAAGAGAGGGTGTGTTTGTGATGTTTGTCAGCATAGGGTCGAGTGTGTCTGCCTCACATGTCACGGTTATAGAGATCTGAGACTTGCTGTATAGAACACTGTGATAGTTCTCTGGTTTTTTGTTTTGTATGTGCGGGTGGTTTAATTTGACTTTAGGGTTTTGAATTTCTATTTTTTTAATTTAATTTTTTTCTTTATTGATATTTTAGAGAGGAAGAGAGAGGGAGGGAGAGAGAAATATCGATGAGAGAAACATGGATTGGCTGCCTCCTGCATGCCCTCCCCCGGGGGGATTTGGCTCACAACCTGGGCATGTGTCGTAACCGGGAATTGAACTGGTGACCTCTTGGTGTGTGGGTCGACGCTCAACCACTGAGCCACACCAGTCGGGCTGACTTTTGGGTTTAAATGGGATATCTGGGCTCCTGAGGCTGGGTCTGAATTCTGGCAACTTGGTGATGTACATGCAGCCTGGAGTCTCTGGCTCGCTTCCTGGGGTCTCAGTCGTAGCTTTGTTCTTCTTGTAGCTATGGCCACATCTTTTTTTTTTTATCCTCACCTGAGGACATTTTTTGATATTTTGTTCAGATAGAGTGGGAGGGGGAGAAAGAGAGAGGGAGAGAGAAACATCGACATGAAAGGGACACATTGAGTGGTTGCCACCCACACGACCCAACCAGGGCCAGGGACAAACTGCAACCGAGGTACGTGCCCTTAGTGGGACCCGAACCCAGGTCTCTCTGGACCGTAGGCCAGCGCTCTAACCGCTGAGTCAAACTGGCCAGGGTTATGGCCACATCTTTACCCTTTTACCGCATTCTCTTAATTTTAGATAGAACCTCAATTTATAAAAATAAGTGCAGTGAGCTGCAGAGAGGTGCACTGTCTGGACCTAGAGGAATTTCTGTGTTTTAGAAGATATGTGAATCAGATTTGAATAGTAGAGCGTTTGTAGCACATACTGTCAGAGAAAATAATGGCACAGTGAGCCCCACCTTTCTGTCCCAGGCTTCAGTTTGCTGTTCATGGCATTCCCGCTCGTCCTGCTTGTTCCCACCTACCCGACACTGCATGTCTCTGTGTCTGTTTCAGTGTGTCTCTCTGACAGATAGGGACTCTTTTGTTTTTTTTAATCCTCACCTGAGGACATTTTTCCATTTTTTGTTCAGATAGAGTGGGAGGGAGAGAGAGAGAGACATCGATGTGAAAGGGACACATTGAGTGGCTGCCACCTGCACGACCAACCAGGGCTGGGGACAAACTGCAACCAAGGTACGCGGTAACCGAACCCGGGTCTCTCTGGACAGCAGGCCGACACTCTAACCGCTGAGCCAAACTGGCCAGGGTGGGACTTTTTTTTTTTTTTTTTATCCTCACCCGAGGATATTTTTCCATTTTTTGTACAGATAGAGTGGGAGGGGGAGAGAGGAAGGGAGAGAGAGAGAGAAACATCGACGTGAAGGGACACATCGAGTGGCTGCCACCCACACGACCAACCAGGGCCGGGGACAAACTGCAACCGAAGTACGTGCCCTTAGCGGGAACCGAACCCGGGTCTCTCCGGACCGCAGGCCGACGCTCTAACCGCTGAGCCAAACTGGCCAGGGTGGGACTCTTTTTAAAGACATAACCTTGATATCATTATCACACCTGAGAAAATGAGTAGTAATTACCTATCTTTTTCACATGGTGTCCTCGGTGGACTTGTGTCCACAGCATGGATCTGTGCTGAGTTCCAGTCAGTTACACTCAGGTAGTTGCTGCACATTGGGTTTTATAGGAAATTACTGCAACTTGTCTTGAAACCTGCCCTCCTTGTCTCTCTCATGAAATGCCATCCCATGTGCTGTCCTGCCCTCACCTTCCCCTTGATGTATACCTCATCCCCCGAATGGCCCTGGCAACATGTCCCTGCCCGTGGAGACCCCTCCTGGCAGGCAGCCTCACACCTGCTGCTGTCACCACTCTTGCTTGATGCCCGGCTCCCTTGCAAAACAACAGCAAACAGCATAAAGACCCCAGAGCTGTGTGCGTCATGTTTTGTAGTCTAGTCTAGGCTGTTCTCTTTGTGGAGAGCCCTTTCTCCCTCCTCTGGGGCCGCTTTCTCCCAGCCTCTGGATCTGCCTCTTCACAGGAAGGAAGTTGGGCAGGTTGCCTTCTTGCTGCACTTGGTAAATGATGTGGGGTGAAGGGATCTTCATGAAATAGGGTTTGGGGTTCGTTGTGAATTTAGGCCATCACTGCAATCAGAGGGCCTGTGGGATTGTCTGTGGTCTTAATGCTGTAGACATCAAACACAGGTGGTTCACTGTGGGGTACATAAAGGCCTCCCACCAAACTGAGTTTCATCTGCTCTTGTTTGCAGCGGCCACTGTCCTCAAGTGCCTGGACAGCTGCAGAATCCCTGACAGCAACCACACCCTGCTTCGGAAACTCAGGGTGAAGCTCGTGCAGCGGCTGGGCCTGACCTTCCTGAAGCCCAGGGTGGCCAAATGGAGGTTGGTGGACCAAGGTGCAACCGTGTTTGGCCAACATTGTGACTGCTGTGTTTCTTGTTTTCGGTGGTTGTGGTGAAGTAGCCTGACTGATAGAGTATTCTCTGTGTTCATTTCTTCTTGAGTATTTCTGATTTTAAAAGAAAAGGTTTTCCTTTTGTTTTTTTTGGATCCTACATCTTTCAATTAGAGTAACTGAAGCTGCAGTGATGCATTTTATGTGATGTTCAAGTACAGTACAGCTTGACTGATTTGGGCTTGCTGTGGGAAAGCTTTATTTTGATTGATGGTAACTTTGAATCATAAGCTTCTTCCAAAGAGAAAAAGCTCACTTCTTGAGGTTTATTCAGGAAGTCTGTGGATGGAAACAGAGTTTTAACTATCTGTAAGTGGCCTACGTAATTAATAGAGTGTTTTTGAATTGGTGGCTCCCCAGAAACAGGCTTTTCTACTCTGCCTGGGGTACTGTTATTTTGTTTTTAAATTTATCTTTATTGTTGAAAGTATTACAGATTCCCCCTTCCCCCCTTTGACACTTTCCTCCCTGCTTCTGTCCTCCTGGCCTTTACCGAACTGTTGTCTGTGTCTATTGGTTATGCACATAAGTTCTTTAGTTTATCTCTACCCACCGCACACCACCCCCCCCAAGGTTGTTAGTCTTGGGGTACTGTGTTTTTAACAGTCTTCAGTTTTATTTCAAGTAGCATTCTGCATGGTTTGGGAGGAAATACTTAAGTTCAGCTCAGTCTTTGTCTCCGATTATAGTAAGTTCTGGAGAAGTGTGCTGTGGTTTAGTGATGTTTCACTGCAGAACCTTCTGGTTGTTCTGCATACAGCTGCTTCTATAAGAAGTTGTTTATGAGACTAAATTTGTTAGTGGTTAGTTTCTAAAATACCATAAAAAACTAAGGTTCAGGACTGAATTAGGTTTTCCAGAGAAACAGAATCAATAGGGTGTGTGTAAAGAGACTTAGAAGGAATTGGTTCATGTGGTTGTGGAAGCTGGCAAGTCACTGGATCTGCAGGTGAGTTGGCTAGCTGGAGGCCCAGGAGAGCTGATGGTGTGGTTCCAGTCTGAAGGCTGGCAGGCTCGGCACCAGGAGGAGCGGATGTTTCAGTTTGAGTCCTAAGGCAGGTAGAATTTCCTTTGACTTGTTGGTGGGTCAACCTGTTTGAGCTCTTCAGATCTTCAACTGATTGGGTGAGGCCCACCCACGCCGTGGCAGGCAATCTGCTTTACTAAGTCTGCCGATTTAAATGTTGATCTCTTTCAAACACACCCTCACAGACATAGCCAGAATAATGTTTGACCAGATGTCTGTGACTCTGACAAATCAAATTGACATATAAAATTAACCACAACAAATACTATACATTTACGTGGGAAGAAATATTATTTAGCATTTAATTTTGTTCTGTCTGTATTTTCATGCACATTTAATTATTAAAATGATTGGGTTTAAATCTGTTATTTTATTGTTTCTCCCGTCTTTTCTTCCTTTTTTTTTTTTTTTTAAATCCTCACCCAAGGATATTTTTTTCATTGATTTTTAGAGTGAGTGGATGTAGGGAAGGGGGGAGGGAGGGAGGAAGAGAAAGAGACAGAGAGAAATATCGATGTGAGAGACACACGTTGCCTCTTGTACACACCTGGACCAGGGCTGGGGATCAAACCTGCAAGCCAGGTACATGCCCTTGATTGGGAATCGAATCCATGACCCTTTGGGATCCCACCATGGGCCGATACTCTAGTCTCTGAGCCACACCAGCCAGGGCTGTATTTTTTTTTTCTGTTTTTTCTCCTTTACATTTTTGTTACATCTTTGAAAAATTTTTTTTTCTTTATTAATATTAGATAGAGGAAGGGAGAGAGAGATAGAAACATCAATGAGAGAGAACATTGATAGGCCACCTGTATGCCCCTCACTGGGGATCAGGCCCACAACCTGGGCATGTGCCCTGACCGGGAATTGAACCGGCAGCCTCTTGGTGCGTGGGTCGACGCTCAACCACTGAGCCACACCGGCTGGGCTTGTTACATCTTTTAGCATCATTCTCTTAACGGTTATCTTTCTCTTAGGGGAGCAGCCTGTCTGGCAGGTCACTAACTTACTGGTACTGCTCCCTTCTTGTTAGGTCTCCCTCTGGGCCCCATTCGGGTGGATTTTTTTCAGTTCTTTTCTGCTGGAGTGCAGCCCTTATTCCTGCAACAGGCTCCTCACTTCTGGGTGTGGCCTTTAGTCCCTCTTGCTAGGCCCACATCACATGACCTCTAAACTCTGCTCAGCTCCCAGCTGCTCTCTGATGGCACTCTGGGCCTGGTCCTGCATTCACACAGCTTAGGGTTGCCCAAGGCTTCAGTGAGATTTTTATGCAGAGTATTGGAGTTCTTTCTCAGCACCTCCCTTTTGTCATCTGTTCCCAAATAATGGCCATCTCAGTAGTCACGAATGTTTTCTTCCACTTGGCAAGGCGGCTGCTCTCTGCTTGGGCTCTATTTTAGGAAGTAACTTTTGGGAGGAAGCAGAGGTGAAGGTGGGATGTACCCTGCGGGCTCCCTGCTCTGACGTTGCAGCCCTACCTTGGCTCTCATCTTGTGTCTGCCAGTGGTCAGTTAATTAATCTTGTCCAGATTTAGTAGTTGTTTATGGCCAAAGGTAAGTCTGATGGAAGCCTGAAGTCTGTTATCTTTATAGTTCCATCTGCTCTCTGGTTTCTGAACAGTAAAGTGAGTGCTCTTCCTGTGAAGTAGTTGATGTGTGTACTCATTTGAGGACAGACAATGACAGCCATCGTGGGAATGCCTGTTACTCGAGGGGAAACGGAGGCAGCGGGAGGGTCAGGGGCTATGCAGAACTACATGGCTAGGCCAGCGTGCTGCTGGGAGATGGTGCCAGTGGCTTTGACTGGGTGGCGAAGAGGGTTGTGGGTGGCAGACAGAAGCTATAGGAGCCGGCTGTGGACTAGCTGGAGCACCTGGTGACGGTGGGCTGGGAGTGCATGGGGAGTTGCTGCCTGCTGTGAGGGAAGAGGGCCCAGGGGTCTCAGTGTTGCCCTGCTGCCTTACCATCACCTGCCTTTTCATCCTGTACACCTGACAGTACATGAGGCTTCTGAGCTGTCGTGAGTTTGGGTCTGTATTCTGTGGCTAAAGTTATGTCATCATCTTTTCCTGGAAATCTTGGCTGATGACTGTTTTCTTCCTTTCCACTGTGTCCTTGTAAACACATGGAATTTCCACAGGTTCTGATTCCAAGGGACACTCAGTTGTTGATTTCTGTTGTCAGGATTGTTGGCTAGGCTCTGAGCTATGACAGTGGATCTAAGATCATGTGTGGTCCCTGCAGGTACCAGCGTGGCTGCCGCTCCTTGGCTGCTAACCTGCAGGCCTACACCCAGAGTCAGAGGGAGCCCCCGATGCACACCAAGACTCCTGACAGTGAGGAGGGCTATGACGTCCCTGAGGAGGTGGAGAACGTGATTGGTGCGTGGCCTGCAGCCTGAGCAGATGTTTTAGTGGGTGGGAAATGAGGCTCTGGCCCAGCTTGCTCCATGCCACACTTTGGCGGGAGTTCTGAGGTCAATCTATGGGCTGAACCCCCTTCTCAGTTGTAGTGTCACGTGACCTTCACTGTCCATTGAGCATGGCTTGCAGTCCATCCTCATTCCCATGAGAATATCTGCACCCATCTGTGACTGTTGGAGCCTTGGACCCCGAGAGTCTCCCACCTTGGCCCTCCATTTTTACCTCACTCCCTGTGCACCTCAGAACCCCAGGCCTCACCTAGAGCTCTGAACTCGGCCTCCTTGGTCCCAGCTGCCCGCACCTACCCCACAGAGCTCTTCACCTATTCCACTTTCACCCCAGGTGGCGGCTCCTGCTGCGCAGATGGGCAGAGTCATCAGCAGAGCCTGCTCTCCCACCCCTGAGGCCCCGTGGACCAGGTCCCACCCGAAGGGCCAGCCTCCATTGGACTCTTTTTCTTTTATTTTTTATCCTCACCCAAGGACATTTTTCCATTTTTTGTTCAAACAGAGTAGGAGGGAGAGAGAGAGAGGAACATTGATGTGAAAGGGACACATCGAGTGGCTGCCACCCGCATGACCAACCAGGGCCGGGGATAAACTGCAACCGAGGTACATGCCCTTAGTGGGAACCGAACCCGGGTCTCTCTGGACTGCAGGCCAACGTTCTGTTGAGCCAAACTGGCCAGGGCTCCACTGGACTCTTACTCAGGGTCTCCCACTCCCACCCATGGGCTTGAACTCTGGCATTCACTGTCCCTGTGGTGAAGGACAGTATCTCTCCTCCTTGTCCCCTTAACATTATGTTTTTTCCCAGAGTTGTCCACACCTGCTATTCCCACCCACCCAAGTCCCCAGACTGCCCATCACAGAGACCTTGTCCATCTTCACAGGCTCCTGTTCCTCTTCCACATTAGGCCTCTGTGCAGCCTGGTGCCCTCCGTCATGGTTTCCACCCACTGGGCTTGCAAGGTCCTTACCATGAGGCTTCTGGTGCCACCCTACCTTCCTTTGGGCCTTTTCATAGCTTTTCCTAATGTCTCTGCTGTCCCTAAGACCCTGACCCGTATGTTATGTCTTTTGTGCTTTCTGGGAGCCTTTCTCACCTGGCTGAGGTCACCGTTGACTCTGGCCTCCCTGGTACTTTTTGCCCGTGGCTGCTCAGATGAGCGGATCTGCTTCTGAGAAACAAGGGCAAAAGTTGTCTTCAAATGATTTAAAAATGGAAGGAAACATTCTTTTTTTATAATTGGGATAAAGGTTCTTTTTTTTTTTATCCTCACCCAAGGACATTTTTGCATTTTATCTTCAGATAGAGTGGGAGGGGTAGAGGGAGAAAGAGAGAACTATCAAGGTGAGAGAGACACACTGAGTGGTTGGCCGGAACAAACGGCAACTGAGGCACACGCCCTTAGCGGGAACCAAACCCCGATCTCTCTGATTCGCAGACCGACGCTCTGACTGCTGAGCCAAACTGGCCAGGGCAGAATAAAGGTTATCTTTTTTTTTTTTTATCCTCACCCGAGGATATTTTTCCATTTTTTGTACAGATAGAGTGGGAGGGAGAGAGAGGAAGGGAGAGAGAGAGAGAAACATCGACTTGAAGGGACACATCGAGTGGCTGCCACCCACAAGACCAACCAGGGCCGGGGACAAACTGCAACAGAAGTACGCGCACTTAGCGGGAACCGAACCCGGGTCTCCCCGGACCGCAGGCCTACGCTTTAACCGCTGAGCCAAACTGGCCAGGGCGCAGAATAAAGGTTCTTAATGTGCTTCTTCCCGTGGTGCTCTCTCAGTGGAGTGAGGTATGGGTGATTGAAGCTGGGAGATGAGGCAGTGACTTGGGAGCTCATGGCCCTGCCTTCCTGTCTTCCAGAGCAACTGCTGGTTGGGCTGAAGGATAAGGACACGGTTGTGCGATGGTCTGCAGCCAAAGGGTAGGTGCCGTGTGTCACCAAGCGTGGAACTGGGCCGAGGGACTGGTAGCTTGTGAACGAGATCCCGAGGATCTGCCAGGCCTCGACTCAGTCAGTACTGGTGTGGTATCTGAGAACCGTGGACTTCTCTAATTTACATTTGTTGTTTTATGTCCTAATTTTAAAGATAATCACTGAAGTTGGCTTGAGGCTCCTTTTTTTTTTTTCTCTTACCTTTCTGTCTAGAATGGGCATAATTAGCACACCAGTGTGCCTGTGTCACCTGCCTGTGCTCCTTCCTTGCCCTTCATGTCCTGGTCACCACAGCCCCACAGCCCCTGTTAAACCTGAGGGGATGGCTGACAGAGAAGGCGCCTGCCCAGCAAGGCCAGGCCTCCCACAAGACAGGCAGAGCCCACCGTGGGGGGAAGGGCACTGGGGGACAAAGTACACAGTAGAGGTTAAAGATGTTGATGAACCCTCTGTTTTGGAGAAAAGTAAAATGGGGTGAAGATACTGGAGGGTGGGGGCTTACCCCCATGCAGAGGTTCCCCTGGGCTTCTGTGCTGATCCTTCAAGACACATGAGCACGCCGGCTGCAGGGGCACAGGGCAACCTCTGAGTCCCAAGTCATGTCCGGTTGGAGTGGGATGGGCTGGGAGGGGAGGGACCTTTCCTGACCTAGCAGGGGCTCAGTAGAGATGTGGCATCCACTGTGGAAGTGGGGCCTCCCACCAGGTGGAGGAGGTTTGGGGTAGTGGGTGCCCACCCCCTTGGCATCAGTGCTGAGAGGCACACAGACGTCTGTGTATGTCAACCTCGCGGAGCGCCCTGGTGGGGCAGGTGACCTCTGGGGTGTATTGTGTGTCAGCTAGCTTTGGATCAGCCTCTGCCTCCCCCTTCTCTGGAGGGAGGGAAATCGGGGGTGGCTCCTGCTCTGGCATGTGGCCCCCATGACGCGCTGGCGGTGCTGACATGCTGACGGAATGCCCTTGTCCCCAGGATTGGCAGAGTGGCTGGAAGACTTCCCCAGGAGCTGGCGGACGACGTGGTGGGGTCGGTGCTGGACTGTTTCAGGTACGTGCAGGGGAGAGGGAGACGGATTTCTGGCAGGAAGCGGTGGCTTTTCTCTCCTTCGACCTTTCATATTTTCTTTAATTGAGCTTCTTGTCGGAGTCCCAGAGTTGGTTTTTTTGTTTGAAATGAATTTGAGAACTCCAGTTATTTCTGGTTTGTTTATTTTATCAGCTTATACATTGTTACATGTAAAACCTTAAAGAAAAAGAAAATGTCTTGAACACACACAGATATTCTTAGAGAGAACCTGTGGTCTGTCTGCACTATCCCAGGGAACGTTCTGTGATGGTGGAATGTTCTGGATCTGCCTCTAGGGCCCCCTATGGCTATAGAGACTTAGAAAAAGAGGCTAGTATCACTGAGCTCTGAATTACAAGTTTAATTTAATTTTACTGGATTTCAGTGGAAGCAGCCACATGCGGTGGTGGTGGTGGTGGTGGTGGTGGTGGTGGTGGTGGTGGTGGTGGTGGTGGTTGTGGTGGTTGGATCTGTCCCAGCCTTTCAGAGAGTCTGGTGGCAGAGGACCTGCCATGACACAGGTGTGGGCCAGGACGTGCAGGCAGCAGGTCTGGAGTGTGAGCCTAGGGCCTGCAGGTCGGGACAAGGCAGAGCCCCGGACAGCACAGACCTGCATGTTTTGGTGGCCGGTGTAGTGAGCAGTTACTTTGGGTGGTTCTTATGCGCTTAAGTTTCTTTCCTGGTTTTAGAAGCAGGTGTCTGGAGTGCTGTTTACTAGGCCACTGGTTGCACTCCTGCCCTCATTAGCTGGTGGCTTCCAGGATTGCCACTGAGTGTGGAAAGTGCACTGTCAGCACTTCTAGGTGCTCGGGGGTGTGTCAGTCTCCAAGGCAGCTGCTCGAGCCCCATAGGGCCGTGTGCCTCTTAAGCAGCTTGGTTCTTGAACTTTGCCGCAAGCCTGCTTGGTGACAGCTGAAGGAGTGCAGGAAACAGCAGTCGAATGTAGGTCATCTTTTTCAGAATAACGGTGCGTGTGTGGTCAGAGTGACTTCTCTTGGAGGTGCCTCATTTCCTGGAGAAGCACATTTTTTGTTGGACTGTGCAGGGTCGTGGAGCTTCCCTGTCTACTTGGTGGCTCTGCTGGCTTGTCTAAGGCACCTTCCTGGAGTTCTTTTTCCGGTGGCGTGGTACTGAGTGTGCTGCTGGTGTTGGGACCCTGCCTACTGCAGAGTTGTGTGCCCCTAGGTGGCCACTGAGGGGGTGGCCATTGATGTGGCCACGATGGAGTGTTCTACTCCTGGGAGTGCGCAGAGCTCTGAGAAGGGATCTAGGAGCTTTTCCCCTGGCCCCTTCACCGGGAATGGCTGTCTGCCCCCAGCTTTCTTTTCTCTTTGCTGCTGCTTCCCTCTGGTCCGTTAAAGCTACTTTGTATCAAAATGCAACCCGCCTCCCCCCTGCCCGGTGCTCTCTCAGCCTCCCTCCTGCCTCCTGAAGCACCTTATGCACATCTTTTTTTATTTCTCACCTGAGGATATTTTTCTACTTATTTTCAGAGAGAGAGAGAGAGAGAAAGAAAGAGAGAGAGAGAGGTAATAGAGCCACACCGACTGGTTGCCTCCCGCATGACCCAACCAAGGCCAGGGACGAACTGCAACCTAGGCACATGCCCTTGACTGGATTCGAACCCAAGACTCATTGGTTCGCAGGCTGATGCTCTAACCCCTGAGCCAAACCAGTCAGGGCGAACATCTTTTCTTTTAAAAGACATGTCTCCCGTCAGGTCTGTGGGCCTTTCTCCAGCCCTGCAGTCTTAGTCTGGTTTCTCTTGTCCTCCTTAGTTTAAGCTCAGATGCTTCTTTGCCATTTTAATGGGCTGATTTAATGAAATTTTGTCATTTTAATGAATTGATTTTGTGACTGGGCTGTTGACAGTGGAAACATCTTCCTGCCTATGATTCTCAAGGCAGCAGCCTGAGTGTGTCTGAGATGCTGCCTCTCCCTGGCAGCACCTGCACACCAAGGCAGGAGACACCTGAAGGTGATGTAGAGAGGCACTCACCACAGACCAGGGTGTTTGGAGTCATGGAGAAGCAGGGGCTGGCGGGGCGGAGGTGGTGTGAGGAAGCCAGGATGGCCTGGCTGGCAGGGTCTGGGCACAGCTGCTGCTCTGATCTTGTCCCTCCTTTCATGTCCTCCTGGGATGTGTGGTGAGCTGCCAGCTGTTTCTGAGATGGGTTGGAAGCGATATCAGTTCCTGACCTGCAAGCACACTGATCCCAGGACGGACTGCTCTCCCTGCTGTTTCTGAGCCAGGCCTGTGGTGCGGAGCCACCTGAATCCCTGGTGGGGCTTTACCAGGAGTCTACGACTGGCCTTGACACCCTCCCTGTGTTCCATTTCCTAAGTGTTGTCCTTCAGTCCCTTGGCCCTTGCAGTCCCACAAATTAGAAAAGCACGGTTTAGCTCCTTGCTGGCCCCACAGTGTTACTCTGGGTAGGATCTGGGAGACAGGACATTGCTGACTGTCCTCGGTGGTTCGATTTCTCTCACGGGGTGAGAGTTGCTGGGTGTGCAGTCTCTGGAGCACATCTGCTGTGGTGGGGCCGTCCCAGGACTTTTGTCATTAGGGGGCATCTGGCAAGGAAGTCTGAATGGGAGGCAGTGCTCTGTGGTTAAACTGGAGGATTGTAGTTCCTGAGCCAGCTGATGCTTTAACACTCACGGCCGGGTTTTGGTTAGGCTTACAGGCACAGGGTTTAGACTTCTGCAAACCGGGACTTGGTGGAAAGCCTGTGGTCTCAGTGCTCTGTGCTCTCTCAGTTTTCAGGAGACAGACAACGCCTGGCATGGAGGGTGTCTGGCGCTGGCAGAACTGGGCAGAAGAGGCCTGCTGCTCCCTCCTCGACTCCCGGATGGTGAGTGCCTGCTGCATGTTTATTTTGCATTGTTGGGACTGTTGTAAGCATGGGTGCTTCGTCTCCCTGTCTTCAGCATGGCCTGCATGAGCCACAACCAGGCCTGTGCCCTCCCTGACTGACCTGGTATTTGCAGGAGAGAATGTGCTGGATCTCACTCAGCCTTCCTTCTTAAATGGGCCTTTCTTATTTCTTCATTGCTGCTGCTCCATGCTGTGAATTTTTTTTCTTTTTAATTTTTAAATTTAATCCTCACCCAAATATATGTTTTTATTGATTTTAGAGACAGAAACATTGATCAGTTGCCTCCGTATGCACCCCAACCAGGGATCAAACCTGCAACCTAAGTATATACCCTGACTGGGAATGGAACTTGCAACCTTTTGGTGCATAGGACAGTGTTGCAACTGAGCCACCTGGCCAGGGCTGCTGTGCAGTTTTAATAGCACAGGTGACTATATATCAAATTTGGGGGGCATGAGCCACTGTAAGTTCTGAGATTATTTTGTTCCCCAGACCAGTTTTCACTGGTGTGTAGGTACGTGGTCCATTATGAACACATGTGTTGCCGCTGTGTTTATCACCTGGAGTGACACATGGTCCGCTGGGAACAAGGCTCACCCCAATAAGGGGTGGAGGACCTGAGCAGGGGGACCGGGGCACAGTGTGGCTGGTGCAGAGATACCACTGAGTCCCAGGCTTGTATGTCCCAGCTGTGGGGCCTGGCCGCATGGGGGTAAAACGTGGGGCTGTGGTCACATGAAGCTCTGTCTGTGGTTGGTGAGGACCATCCGTGAGTGTGGTCGCTGGTGCCTCTGGACAGAAGGAAAGGGTACTTGTGAAGGATGGAGAGGGCCCTGACACCACACGCCCTGGGAGGTAACTTCCTGCAGAGACAGGTGTGGCCCCCCAGAACCCCAGCTGTGGGGGTGTCTGAAGTGCTGGCTGTGGGCTTGCCTGGCATCTTGGAGCACAGGAGAGCTTTTAGGACCCCACAGTTCCTGTTTACTCTTCCTGCTTATTTTTCTTTCTTCTCATTTCGGTAGCAGCTTTATTGGGATATTACTTGTATACTGTATATTTTACCCATTTGAAGTGTACAGCTGAGTGGTTCATAGGTTTACAGAGTTGTGCATCCATCATCATTATCTATTTTCAGGGCATTTTCATTGTTCCTCAAAGGAGCCTGAATCAGGAGCAATCACTCCCCTTCCTCTCAGCACCCCAGCCCCAGGCAACCACTGATCTGTCTCTGCGAGTTTGCCTTTTCCGCACATTTTGTGGGACCTACAGTCGTGTTCTTTGTGCCTGGCTTCTTTCATTCAGGGTGAGGTTTTTAATACTCATCCACAGTGTCGCTTGTAGCAGTCCTGCTTGGTTCCCTGTGTGACATTCCATTTCAAGGGACACTGCATTAGCTCATCCCTCCCACCCTTGGTGGACATGTGGCTTGCCTTGGCCATGATGGATAATGCTGCTGTGGATATTTGTGGGATATGAACTCAGCTCTCTTGGGTATAGACCTGGAAGTGGGAATGCTGGAATATGTGGCAACTCTTACTTTTTTGGGAGTTGCGAAACTTTTCGAAAATGGTTGCACCGGTTGACTTTCCCACCAGCGGTGAGTGTTCCAGTTTCTCTACATCCTCTTTTTTCCTGGATTTTTTTTTTTTTGGACAGTGGCTATCCCAGTGGGTGTGAAGTGGTATCTCATTGGGGTTTTGATCGTCATTTCCCTGATGATAAGTGATGCTGAGCATCTATTCATGGGCTGCTCTTCATTTGGATATCTTTCTTGGAGGAACATCTATTCATGTCCTTTGCTCATTTAAAAAAATTGGTTATTGGTCTTTTTATTGCTATTGTGAGTTCTTTATGTATTTTGGATGTAAATCTCTTACCAGATAGATGATTTGCAAATATATTCTCCCATTCTGTGGTTGTCTTTTCACTCGCCTGCTGGTGTCCTTCTATGCACCCAGTTTTTTTTGTTTTTTTTTATCCTCACCCGAGGACATTTTTCCATTTTTTGTTCAGGTAAAGTGGGAGGGAGAGAGAGGAACAGATAGAGAGAGAGAGAGAAACATCGACGTGAAAGGGACACATCGAGTGGCTGCCACCCGCACGACCAACCAGGGCCGGGGACAAACCGCAACTGAGGTACATGCCCTTAGCAGGAACCGAACCCGGGTCCCTCTGGACTGCAGGCCGACGCTCTAACTGCTGAGCCAAACCGGCCAGGGCTATGCACTCAGTTTTACGTTTGGGTCCACTCCTCATCTCCTCTTTTTTTTTTATCCTCACCCGAGGACATTTTTCCATTTTTTGTTCAGATAGAGTGGGAGGGAGAGAGAGGAAGAGAGAGAGAGAAACATCGACGTGAAAGGGACACATCGAGTGGCTGCCACCCGCTCGACCAACCAGGGCCGGGGACAAACTGCAACCAAGGTATATGCCCTTAGCGGGAACCGAATCTGGGTCTCTCTGGACCGCAGGCCGACGCTCTAACCGCTGAGCCAAACTGGCCAGGGCCTCATCTCCTCTCTTATTGCTTGTGCTTCTGATATCATATCTGAGACGTTGTTGTTATCCCAAGGTCACAGATTTACTTCTGCAGTTTTAATTTTTTATTCCATCCTGAGTAAATGACTTACACATTTATTTGTGAAAATAGATGGTGTGAGGGGGAGTGTGTGAAAGTGTGTGCTATGTGAGTGCCACAGATCTAGAGGAAGTCTTGTCTGTATGGTGCCGACCACAGTTCAACTTGGAGGAGACTGGAGCCTTTTCTTTGCTTCTCATGCCTGAGATGTCTGGTGTGTGGCCAGAGTGATCGTGTCTACTGATTTTGAATAGGCAGAGTGAGAGTGTGGCTGTGGTGTTGTAAATGATCAGTGTCAAGCTCTTGCTTAAAACTGGGACATAATGTAAGAGAAGTTGGCCCGAGATTTTCACTTGAGCGTCTGGCTCCTCCGGACCCTCCTGCCTAGCAGTGCCCTTTCTGTACCTGAGGGTTGTAGAGAAGGTTGGCTGTTTCTTGTCTGGGAAGGACTATGCCAGACCAGAGACAGTGGTTTGTCCTAGAGCAGCCTCCAGAGGCCACAGCGTCAGCATTCATTGTTCATGTTTCTGTGTTCTTTCCTTCTCAGCCTGGATAGTTTCAGTTGCCCTGTCTTCAGATTCACTGACTTTTTCCACCTGCTCAGGTCTGCGTTGCACTCCTCAGCTGGATTTTTCGTTATACTCACCGTACTTTTCAGTTCTGGAATGTCTCTATAGTTTCTCTCTCTACTGACATTCCCTGTTTGTTCTGATGCCATTCTCTTCCTTCCTGTTAGCTCTTTGAGTGTTTTGAGATGATTGATTTAGACTCTGTCTCATAAGTACAGTGCCTGGGCTTCCTCAGGGGTGATTTCTGTCAATTTATTTTTTCCCTGTGAACTGCCATACTTTTCTGTTTCTTTATACATGCCTTGTAATTTTTTGTTGAAAACTGGGCAGTTTCAATGTTATAAAGTGCTGTAACTGGAAATCAGCTTCTCCCCTGTTCCCTGGGGTTTGCTGTGGTTTATGAGGGCTATAGTCGCTCATTTACATAGTGACTTTTCTCAGATTTTTGCAATGGCTGTATTTCTTGTCCTGTTTGGTCTTTGAAGTTTCTGTTCCTTTACCTCAGCAGTTAGCTACTGACCTGACAGTTGCTTCAGTGCTGACACGGAGCAGCTGATTCTTCACTAAGCACCTCCCTGGGTGCTGTACGTTACTGATTGGGCCCTGGCCGGTTTGGCTCAGCGGGTAGAGCATCAGCCTGTGGTCCACAGAGACCCAGGTTCGGTTCCCGCTAAGGGCATGTACCATGGTTATAGTTTGTCCCCGGCCCTGGTTGGGTTGTGTGGGTGGCAGCCACGTGATGTGTTCCTTTCACGTCAATGTTTCTCTCTCTCTCTCTCTCTCTCTCTCTCTCTCTCTCTCTCTCTCTCCCTCCCTCCCTCCCTCCCTCCCTCCCTCCCTCCTACTCTATCTGAACAAAAAATGGAAAAATGTCCTTGGGTGAGGATTTAAAAAAAAAGTACTGATTGGATTCCAGAGTTCTGTCAGTTTTGCTAGCATAGTGGTGGTTCTGGTGGAGGGATCAATTGCCAAGACACAATTACATGTGCAGGGGTTCTGATGGGGAAATGCCCATGAGGAAAAATGAGGTGGGCACCCGGGAAGGCTGATAGAGTTGCCATCTGACCCCAAGTGGTGTGGGGCAGGGTGGGTGGTGGCCATGTCCTGGGAGGCTGTGTGGTCTAGGACAGGGCTTGGCAAGGCATGTTCCATTTCATATCCCCATCCCTGCTCTCCCTCCCTGTTAGGTATGGCATTTTGGTCTAAGGTTAAAACCAGCAATGGGAAGGTAGTTTGCTATTTAGAAAGGTCGTTATCGCTCTGGCCGTTTTGGCTCAGCGGTGGAGTGTCGGCCTGCGGTCCAGAGAGACCCAGGTTCGATCCCCACTGAGGGAATCGGTTGCGGTTTGTCCCTGGCCCTGGTTGGGTTGTGCGGGTGGCGGCCACTCGATGTGTCCCTTTCGCGTCGATGTTTCTTTCTCTCTCTCTCTCTCCCTCCCCACTCTATCTGAACAAAAAAAAAAGGTTGTTATCGATGTTAATTCAAGGGTCATTTAAAATTTTTTTTCAGTTTTATTGAGATAGAGTTTACCTAACATACAATTCACCTATTTAAAGTACACAATCCTATGGTTTTGACATATTTCTTTATTAATTTTACAAAACCATTATAGACTATTAACATAAAAATTGGCCTTATTTTCCATTGATTTTTGGAGAGCATGGAGGGGTGGGGGAGAAAGAAACATCGATGTGAGAGACACTTTAATTGGTTGCCTCCCGCACACACCCTGACCGGGGCTGGGATGAACCTGCAACCCAGGTGCGTGCCCTTGACCAGGAATTGAATCCCTCAACCCTTCGGCAGGCCGACACTCAAATCACCAAGCCACATTGGTCAGGGCTGTATTTGTATTAACTATTAGTAAGTGTACAGTTTGGTGGCATTAAGTACATTTATGATGTTGTGCAACTATTATCACTGTTCAAACCTTTTATCCACCCAAACAGAAACTTGGTCCCCATGAAACACTGTCTCCCTGTTTCTCTCCCTCCAGCCTTTGGAGACCACTAATCTATTTGCCTCCATGAATTTGCCTGCTCTAGGGACCTCATATAAGTGGAATTGTATAATATTTATCCTTTTGTGTCTGACTTATTTCACTGGGCATAATGTCTTGAAGGTGAATTCAAGTTGTGGTATGTGTCAGAACTTGATTCCTTTCTTTGGCTGAACACCATTCCATTGTATGGCTGTTCCACAGTTTATTCACTGGCTCATTTGTCAGTGGACACTTCGGGTATTTCCGTCTTTTGAATACTGAGCAGTGTTCAGTATTCAGAGTGCTACTGTGAACATCAGTGCACATGTACTTGTTAGAGTTTCTGTTTTTATTTAATTTTTTGGTTAGTCCTCACCTGAGGACATTTTTTCCATTTATTTCACAGAGAGTAGAAGGGAGGGAGGGAGAGAGAGAGAGAAACATTGATGTGAGAGAGACACATTGATTGGTTGCCTCCTGCATGACCCCGACTGGGTTGTGGATCACACCTGTAAGCCAGGTAGGTACATGCCTTTGACCGGGAATCAAACCCATAACCTTTCAGTCCACAGGCTGACACTCTAACCCCTGAGCCAAACTGGTCAGGGCATGTTTTTATTTATTTTTTATATATATACCTAGGAGTGGAATTCTAAATTTAACTTTTTGAGGGTTTGTCAGTTTTCGTATATAAAGATTAGAAGCTTTATGCCTCTTAAGTCCAGTCATATGTGCATGCAGAAAGGTAGGATAGTTAACAGATCAGTAAGACAAAGCCCTAGGACTCTGGTGTGCTCTTAGGTAGATACCAAGGGCCTGCCTGCTTCCTGTGCTGTGCCTGTCGCACAGGACCTGGAGGTACTGCATCGGGAGTGGGAGTGGGCTCTGTCTTCATGCCGCAGGCCCACAGGCCCACAGCGGGCCTCTGTCTTGGAAAGCTCAGGGTGAGCGTCTTCCCAGTGGCGAGGCGGCCCCCAGCCGGCACTGTGCATGGGGTTGGATAGCAGTGACTGTCCCTGATTCCTCCTCTCGGCACTTAAGGATGCCTGGCTCTTTGGGGTGAGTTGTAAAACAGTGTCCTTGGAATCTTTGGGTTTTTGACATGCAGGTCTATGTTCTTGTGTGTGACAAGTGTGAGGAGAGAGCTTGTCTGCAGGGTCCTGAGCCTGGAGCTCGGCCTCCGGCATGGGTTCTGCTTCCTTCAGGGTGTTGGTCTGGGAGAGCGCAGGGCTGTGCTACTTCTTTTCTTTATTAAACATCTGTGTGTCAGAAACAACAGCCTGCCTGTCATTGGGGCTGCACGTACGCCCCTCAGTGCGGACCATGACAGCCTCACTTCAGGTTAGTGGTGTGTGGTCGTCTGAAACTGCTTCCGAGGCGTCCTTGGGGCTGCAGGGCGCATTGCTTTGTGTACGCCGAGAGCACCTTGAGATGTTCTACCTCCCTCTGTGACCTGATATCAGTGGTTTTGTATCTGTTTAACAGGTTGCAAAGCATATTATTTGCTGTCCTGAATGCTGCTATTTAAAAATAAAACTTGCACACGCTTTCAAGTATACATACATGGGATTAGGCATCATGAGACTCCCACACCCAGTGTCCTCCACTGAAAATGCACAGGCACTGCTCCTTCTGGGCTTTGCCCTCTGTCTCCTTGAGCCTGAGTCGCCATCGCCATTCTCAAGACGATGTTTCCTACTGGGTGTGTGCGCTGACCTCCCTCTCACTGGTCTTCAGCAGCACATGTCTGTGAGGGGAACTGGGGCTGTTAAATTCCTATGGCCAAATGGTGCTGAGTATTTAACATTTTTTTCTAGATTGCATTTTTAAAGAATTAAGTCACTAGCACAAAGTTGATCAAAACAATCAAATAACATTTTTTATCCTTTCCCAAGGATTTTTTTTATTGATTTGAGAGAGAGAAGCAGCGATAGTTTGCCTCCTGCACATGCCCCGACTGGGAATTGAACCCACAACCTTCTGGTGCACAGGACGATGCTCCAACAAACTGAACCACCCAGCCAGGGCACTTCAGGTTATCTTTTAGTGAATAGTGCTTATTCTTAGGATGAGGCAAGGTTTTGCATAAGTATTTTATTTATTAAAAAGGTTTTTTTTTTTTTAATCCTCACCTGAGGATATTTTTCTATTTATCTTCAGAAAGAGTAGGAGGGAGGAAAAGAGACAGAGGGGGAGAGAGAGAAAAATCGACGTGAGAGGAACACATCGACTGGCTGCCTCCCGCACCACCCTGGTCAGGGCTGGGGACAAACCGCAACCGAGGTACATGCTCTTGACCAGAATTGAGCCCGTGACTCATTGGTCCATGGGCCGACGCTCTAACCATTGAGAAAAACCGGTCAGGGCAATATTTTATTTTTATTTTTAAAATTTTGCTTTTTAGCTCTGTGCTAAGAAGCCTTGTTAAGTACACAAGCATTTGGGAATGGCTTTCTTGCTTTACGGTGTTCGTCCTTTGTCACAGGACCTGTTTTTTTTGTTTGTTTGTTTTTTTATTAATTTGAGAGTGAGGGAGCAAGAGATAGAAACATTGATGAGAGAGACATCGATTGGCTGCCTTCTGCATGCCCCGCTCTGGGGATTTGGTCCACAACCTGGGTATATGCTCTGACCAGGAATCGGACTGGCGACCTCTTGGTGCATGGGCTGACGCTCAACCATTGAGCCATACCAGCCAGGCACAGGACCTGATTTTGGTGAAACCACCTGCCTGGCTGAGGACTTTCTCCCCATTCACTGGACTGATCCCACCCTCAGAACCACATGTTGACATCCCAGGTGGTATGGGTGGAAGTGAGAGAAAGGGCTGTTGTGGAGGGGGTGGCGAGGAGGAGCTGGGAAGCCTGCTGGCCTTTTCTCAAGCAGGGGTTTAGGAAGCCATTCTCCTACTGCTCTGAGGCCTGAGGGCCCTGGGAAGTCTCAAGGAGCCCCAGGCGGTACACACGCCCAGGCTTGATGACCACTGGTCCACATGTGAACTTGAATGCTCACATATGTGTGTACACACACACGTTTTCTGTTTGTTGTAATTGTTGCCTCAGTTCTAATCTCTTTTCACTGAGTGTATTATGGCAAAATACTCTAAAGTCTTCATTTTGTGTATCCTTAAAGTTCATGTATGAGTTTATTGGAAAGTTAGCAATATATACAACATTTTTGGAAGTGGAAAATGAGGCTGAATGAGTCAGAAAGTTCACTCTAACATTATATGGAAAATAATATATTGATAATAGCTTCACCAGTAATACAGTTTCCTTATTGGAAATAAATTATTTGTATAAATAGCCTCCTGGTGTTTGTGTATTTTTTAGTCATAACAAGTCACAATGTCTTCACATATAGCACTTTAATGCTAGTACTGAAAATACTTTCTCTGCCTTTCCCAGTAATTGTTTTTACTTCAGAACACAGTTGATTTAATAATACAGTTAAGACAGTCTGTTCTAGTGCTGAGATATTTATGAGAAAAGTATCTTTACAAGGTTTCCTATGCGATGGTTCACACTTAAAGGTTTCCTTTTAGTCCCACCTGTTTCATCTGACATCTTACAAAAATAAAAGCCAGTGTTGAACTCATCAGTCTTAGCGTGTGAGTCATTCAATTGTTTTTACAACCCCAAGTGGAAGCACCTTATAATATTCATGCTTGATATTTACACAAAGTGAATTGAATCACGGCTTTTCTTTTTTTTTTTGAGAATTAAAAACTGCCTTGTAAAAATTGACCAGGTAAAAAATGAAAGTGCCCTCTCAGATCTGCTGCTCTGCAGCCTGCCTTTGGGGTGGTGTAGCCCTGTTCTGTGTTAGGCGGGCCGGCACTAGGACACTCGAGTCCTCTTCCGGAGGGTGAGCACTCTGGCCGTGTCGCTCAGCTTCGTCTTCTTAGCTCCCTGCTGGGACTTCCCTGTATCCCGTGGGCTTGTCCTCTTCTGCCCTTTGGGTCTAAGGTCACTCTGAGGCTCCTGGCTCATTGTGGCACTGAGAGCGGGTGTGTCTTGTTGGCAGGCGGACTCCTGGGCCAAGGGCTCCCCGTCGCCCACCCGGACTGTGCCTGGGCTGTAGGCTGCCAGTTGGCAGAGGGCCACAGCCGCCGTCTGCTTCTGCTCGTCACTGCTGTCCACTGCCCGTGCATCCTGGGCCTTCCCAGTGGGGGTGGTCACTGGAACCTCATCAGAGCCCAGGCCGTTTTGGTTTGTCTCAGTGTGTCCTGGCTCATCCCTGGAACCTTCCCGTTCAGCCTTCTGAGCAGCAGCAGCAGCAGCAGCAGCAGCAGCAGATTTTGCCTCTCGCGGTGGGCTGTGGAAGGAAGGCCTGGGAGTCAGGGCATTGCAAGGGTCCTTCACTGAGAGGTTAAGAGGCACGTCCTGCAGGAAGTCTTTGTACACTGGGTCATGAGCAGCTGCTGGTTTGCTCTCCGGTTTCTTGGAGAGGTTCAGTGGGACTATCCTCGAGCCATCCTCTTGGCTGGGGGGCATGGCCTCAGTGGCGTGAGAGGTGCTTCCTGTCTGCGCTGGAGCATCAATGTCCATGACTTTGAGGCTGGAAGAGGCAAAGAGAAGAGAAAGCTTAGTAGGGACGTTGTTTAGAAAAGCTGCTATGTGAAGCTTTTTGAGCGAGTCTAAGCTTGTTAACTGAGCGCAACCAGAGACATGACTTTAGAGATTTTGAAAATGAAATAGTCTTACCTTTTTGGAGAGTCATCTCTGTTTTCCGGAGCCTGGGAATAGGGGCCCTCGGGGCTTTTCTTGATGGGCTTGAAGGCCGTGAGGCTCTGTTCGGGTTGCTGGTGCCTTCCCAGGGCATTCGTGGCAGGCTTGTCGGAGAGGTCGCCCAACCCAGCACATGGCTGGCTTGTCTGTGTGAAGTTGGTAGGACTTGGCCTTCCCGGGGAGCCAGTGGCCGCACTGCCTGCACGTGGGCTCATCTTGGTCCCTTCCGTGTCCCTCTGCTTGTCTCTGGAAGGGTCTTCAGCCTCGGGAGTCGGACTCTTTTTCTCAAACTCTGTGTGTTTTTTGTGGGAGTTGGAAGGGTTTAACTTGGATGGACTCAAGGCTGGGTAGACTAGACTGGCTTCTTCCAGGAGGTGCGAGCTTTGATCTTGTGAAATACCAGCAATGGGTGGGAGTCTGAGACCATAGGAGGAAAATGCAGACTCTGGCCTATAAAATCCATAAGGAATTGGCAGATTGGGGTGGTACTGCTGGAAAAACCTGTGGTGGTCATATGTCGAGGGAGATGGGTACAAGTGCTTGGGCACCGGCCCCGGGTGAGGCAGGAAGTGTCTTTGGTCCTGGGTCCCATAGATAGACAGCAGGGGGGTGTCACACTCGGGTGAGCTCCCAGCTAGGCGGTAGGATGAGTAGATGGTGGCCAGTCCGTGCTCCGTGTAAAAATGGGGTGAGTACTCAGGGATTGTGGGGTGCACATAAGGGGAAAGGGCACCAAACCCCTTTGTAGATGGGATTTTGTGTGGGAATTCGGGTGGGAGGAAAGGCGAACCAGCTTTCCATGGGTAGGCAGGGGCGTGGAACGCAGACTTGGTATGGAAAGTGGTGGCCTTGGCTGTGGGGCTGGGCAGTGCCAGTGCCTCGGGCGCCTCAGCGTGTTCCGGCCCTTTGAGTCTGTGCTCTCCCACAGGGACAAAGGCTGACGGCCGCACGACACCTTCTAACGCAGGCGGGGTGCCCGTGGTGGCTTCTGGGCCTGGACCCCGGTGCTCTGCTTCTTTGTGGAGAGCAGGCTTCTGTCCAGGGCCCTTGTGGGGCCCACGCACCTGCAGTTCTAGATTTTCCTTGGCATCATCCTTGGCGAGGCTGAGTGGAAGCTTGGCATCCAAATGGGGAAGCCTGTTTGTGACGGACTTGGAGGAGGTGGGCTTTGTGGTAGGGTCCTGCTGATGGGTTTGCTTAGGGTCCAGAGAGTTGGACTTGGGGCACTTGGGGATGCGATCTTGCTCTGATACCAAAGTGATGGAGTTTTTGCAGAGCCCGTACTTCATATGGTTGAAGAGGTGTGACTTCTCATTGCAGGTGAAGGGGCACTGGAAGCACTTGTACTTGAAGGGCTTTCCTGGAGGCCGGGGAATGTAATGCGGTTTTTTTGGTTTCCGCTCCTTGAGGAGACTCATGTTCCTCTTGAGGGTTCAGGCTCCGGTCTCCCCAGTGGTCCGCTCACGGTGGGCTCCTGCTGAATTCGCACGTGGTGGTTTTAAAGGAGCGTCTCCCTTTCTCCTGCTTTCCTTCCCACTGCTCTTAATCTGAAGCCAGCTCCTCGTGCTGCGGGTCTGACGAGGAAAGTCTCGCTCATCTGGGGACTGGGAGCTGCAAAGGAGTAGCAGAGCCTTAGTGACAGGGCACTGGCTTACGTAACAGGGTTGCCAGGGAGCCCCTGGGGGTGAAGTGAAGGCACCTGGAGATACAGGAGATGCAACCACCCCTGGGTGCATGTGGGGTAGGGGAGCTGACCCTGCTCAGAACCATGCTTTCTGTTTTCTCAAGTGCCACCTGAATTGCCTTGGGCCCAAGAGGAGTGTAGTGTGTGGAATTTGGTGTCAATTCTGAGTATGCCTGTCATTTTTTGAGTTTTGGCAACCCTTTTCCTGTGACCTGAGGCCTCAGATGCCAGGAAAGTTGTGGGCGGAGGGGATGAGTGACTGTTGGGGTCCTGTCCATCTGTGTCCACAGAGTTTCTGGCCCTTAGGTCAGGGAACATGTCATTGTACCCTCCAGGAAACACTCTGACAGGGCTGCCCTGTGTCATCACGCTGCATTCTGTGCGCAGGTATCAAACATACACTTAGAGATGTGATCCCACCCTAATGCTCCTGACATCACAGAGGAAAGGGCAGCTGTTCTGTCTTAAGGACAGATGGATGTGGGCTCCCCCAGCTCACATGGCTTGAGGTGCTGTCATGGTGAGCCTGTGGCGACCTGACGGCTGGTTCTGCTCACTGTGCGTCTCTGCTGCCCACCTGGTGAGCAGTGTGTAGTAGTTCATGTAGCGCTCTGGTTCCTGCCAGGTCAGCAAACACAGATGCTTGTGGGTGGCCGGGGGCGTGGCCAGCAGGTGCCTGTCTTCCTTTCCTGGCCTTACCTCTAAACGGCAGAACCAGAGCTTTGCAGCCCTTATGGTCAAGGGGAAAGCTGAATGAGTGGTGCCTGTTTTAGAGATGGTTGGAAGCCATCCCAGCCTTTAACCTTTAGGAAGTGAGCCCTGGGCCATCCAGACCTCACAGGGCTGTCTCTCCCCCAGGGTCCTGGATCCCAGCAGGGCTGCCGGTGTGTCTGGCCTTCAGGTTACTTTCCCCAAGGGTCCTTCCCCTACCCCCGGGCTTAACAGCAGGTCTCAGCCCTGGTTTCCTTTAGAGGCTGCTCTGCACACCCGGGCCTCTCACCTGCCTCCTGCCAAACAGACATGGGATCTGGGAGGACCAGCCCTGGGGTGACTGTGTCTAGGAGAACTGCGTGGGTGGGGGAGGCTGCCCTGGGGTGTGAGGAATCAAGGCTAAGCACTTGATTTGCATAAAAATGGGAAGAGGAAAAAGTCTTTACCTTCCACATATTTTCAAGCATTTCAGAATAAAGTTCAAGGAAAGTGTTTTAACAGAACTTTTCAGTTGCAGTTTTGCTTTAAGGCCAGAGCCAGTGTGGTTCAGGTTTCATGTACAAAGCGCCGGCTTCCCCACACGGTGGGAAGACATTCCTCAGGAAAGCAGCCTTTGTGTGGGAAACTCAAGAGACTTGCTTTCACAGCACAAGGGTTACCGTAGCTGCGTCCTGCTTGGGTCCCACACGTGGAGATGAGGTAATGGGCCCTTGCAGAAGGAGGGGTGAAAGTGGGAGGGTGGGGCGTTCCATTTTCACTTGGACACCTTAAATTCTAAGAAAGCTGTCTGATTTTATTCTCAGCAAACTGGTTTCTCTGCTCATTGATTCATATTTCTTAAAAATACAAAGAACCACTCTCCCACCAACAAACTGCCTCTGTGGAGCTATTTTATCACCCAGGTCTTTCAAAGACATGTTTGTTTGCTGAGGCGCTTTGGGAGGAAAGAGGCTTTGCTGATGCCTAAGCCTTCTGAGAGCTGCTGCAGAGCAGGGGACTGAGGTGTGCATGCGGCATAAGGAAGGGGATTTCTGGCTGCCCCACAGATGGGGAGAGGGGGTCCCTGGGCCCTCCCCCTTGGGCATTCCTCGCAGGGCTCTGCCCTCTCCAGGTCACCCCTCCTCTTCTCCCAACGCGTGCGGCCGCAGGAGCTGCCAGGCCATGTCAAAGCCGAGCAAATTACACTCATAATCATAGCTTTGCGTCTTTCTAATTTCCCCGCTTATTATAGCAAAAACGTGAAGTGATTCTTTACGAGTTCAGTCCATACCTTGCGGGGCAGATACGCTCTGGGTGATAAAAGCACAATTTCCTCGCCGCCCGTCATCAAGTGACTCCAGCCAGCGCCGGGCCAGCCAGATAAGTCAGCGGGGCCTGTGGTGGCACGTCTCATTATGCTCCCTGGTTCTGGAGGCGTGAGAACCTCTGCAAGTCAGCTTCCCAGGGTTGTATAGGATGTGTTATGGCAGAGATCTGAACACTGGTGATTTCATCACTAGCTGCAGCAGTACCATCCCAATGATGACAGTTGCAAAACGTTTATCAGGTGGGAGCCCAGAGTCCCAGCGATACCGAGAGCGGACTCAGATCCACCCCCTCCATATGACAGCACACGGGCTTAACTGAGCAGCCAGTTCCATCCGGATTTAAGAAAATGATGTCAGGCATAGAAGCAGTCTTATTTAACAGTGTGGATGCTTTTGGGCAAAAATGTAAATAAAGCCATGTCGGTTAAGGTTTCTCAAAGGTTAATAGGAGGCAAATTATGTAAGTTATCATAGTATTACCCAAAAGAATACTTGGGGAAATGATTGTTTTATGTTGATATGTACTTGTTTTACTCAGTTGTTGCGTCCAGAGTTTTTGTTGGTTGGTGCACAAGGACAGGCTTCAGGGGCTGTGGGGGGAGGGTACTCCAGGGTCCCGTTGGAAGGACAGCCAGCCCTGGACTCGCAGGTGCGGCAGAGGCATTAACTCTGGGTAAACTGACCTCTCAGGGTTGCACAATCGCTGATTAAAACAAGGAGCACAGAGGCTTCAGGTGCCGTGGAGATGGGCATAGTTCACTTGGCTATGAAGTGCAGTAATGTCAGAGAAACAAGTGGGGTACGATTGAGGCTTTTGTAGGCTTTCGAGGGGGTTCGGGGGGCAGCCTGTAGAAGATGTACATCTGTGAGGTCTCCTGTCCAGTGAGGTTTACAGGATGACAGAACCACAACTAAAACTGCTGGTGTCAGGTGTTCCAGAAAAGGCCATTGTTGCCACAACAGTACAGTCCAGCGCTTTAACTGTTTGTGGGAAGTGGATGTGCGTTCGGAGGAAGATTTCTCTAGGGTTGGGACAGGTGTTTTGCTGTCCTTTTTATGGGACACATGTTTCTTAGCTACTGCTTCTCTGGAGAATTGCATAGTGAGGTGCTAGTGAAGCAGGACCCTGTGACTTGGCTTTCAGTGTCAGCATGTTTGCAAATTCAGGTGTTTGCCTGTTCCTGAAAGGTTTATGTGACAGTGTTTCTGCCCTCCCACTTGGCTGTTTCTGCCTGCCTTGGAGGAGAGCTGGTAGGTAACTCTCTGCTCTCGAATGCACCTTCTCTGTGGCATTGAGAACCTTGACACACCCGGCCACCTCCGTCTCAATCATTCCACGCTAAGCAGCTGGTACCCACAGTGTCCACACTGAGGACAGGAGACTGTGGGATTCAGTGACTTGAAGACATACACAGAGGTTTCCCTGCTTCATTTAAAACTGTCCTTTTTGTGACTTTTCAAGCATTTTAAACATCTGCTTGTGCTAAGCTGATTGGCTTTTTTGCCTGTGGGAAAAGGCAGGAGCAGGGCGTCTGGCTTCTGCGCTTTCCCCCTGCTGCCCGCTCACCCCACGCATCCCCCACGCATCCGGCAGAGCTGCCCACATGTGGTTCCAGTTGGCCACAGGGCTCTCCCACTCGCCACTGTGCCGTCTTTTGATGGCTTCCTAAGTATGAACAGTTAACGTAGCTGCCAGCTGTCGGGGTAATAGTGAGTGGCTGGCAAGTTTAAAAAGGTTCTAAGGAGTTTGGACTCTGAAACATAGATGAGAGAATAAGATTTTTTTTTTTTTGAACTTTGCTAGGACACAATAGAGGTAATTATAGCTTAACTTCACGGGACATTGCTGTGCCGGGCTGGGCAGCTATGCCCGTCATGCACAGAACCTGTCCGCTGAAATCATGCCGCAAGATCCTTTCTGCATGTCCAGCTGTCTGGCAGAGGGCCTCGTCAGGTGGGACGTTCTGAAGGGCATGCTATAATTACGATATTGTGAGGTGGCGTTATTGCATAACTCAGGGACACGCCATTGTCGCCTACCCACTGGGGTGTCGCAAGAACAAGATTTGTGAGTTTTACTCCAATTGAGCTTTTCCAGTGATTAGCCACCACTCCCTCCCAGACTTTTGGTTCTTTACAATGCAGGGTAACCTTCAGGACAACCGTGACCTAGGGAGAAAGGCAGCTCAGAGCAGGGTTTGGAAGAATGGGTCCAGAGAACAGCCGGGGTCTCCTCCTAGTTTCAGTTGGAGGTCCCATGTCACAGACAGCTCCACACACAGAACGCACAACCTTAACTTTCGGCGGCGGTCGCCAGAGCCAAGGAGCCCGATGTGCCTGCCGTGTTGATCCTCCCAGAAACAAAACCAGACCAGTTTAAAGCATGGGAAGGATTTTCTTCATGCAAAATAGAAATTAGGATAGCAAATGTAGACAGATTTTACTAAATGAGGTCTGCCTCAGCTCAAACTTGGCCAGTAATTTTTCAGTAATTGTTCTTATATATAGGTTTATGAAGAACTTTGTAAAGAGAAAAAACCTACCTTTTGTATATAGAGGGATCCTCTTTGGTTAATTTTTTTTAACCTTATATTAAAACATTGCTTATTTTAAACTTTTAAAGGAATTACAAATTAAAATCAGCAATTATATAATCACATATATACATGATCTTTTATGTTGAAACTTATAGTTTATTTTTAAGGTGAGGAACAGA